AAAAATCTAGTACTGTCTTGAACAGTAAACCGTCTCCAAAGTAGTTCAGTTACATTTAACGTTTACTGTCTTAGGAAGGACCCTACCATCTCTCAATTCGCGAAAAGTCGAAATCTCTAGGTGGCCCAGAGACCGCGAAATCTCCAGACAGACGGACACGCGGCGGAAAATCGAGCACATAAGCGTTACGGCCGTTTTTTATTAGGTTGGATGTATGATTGAAAAAGTGTAGTGTTCGCCACCGTGGACGTAGAGAGACGAGTCTAATAAGGGAGGGCCCGAGCTATGCCGAACTCGCCTCCGGCTCGCTCGACACTGGTGTACAAAAAAGTGTAGTGTGTTTGGCAGTTGGTAAACGTCGTTTACCACCGTGGACGTAGAGAGGCGAGTGTAAGGGAGGCCCCAAGCTATGCCGAACTTGCCTCCGGCTCGCTCGGCACTGCTGTGCAAAAAAGTGTAATGTGTGTTTGGCAGATGTTAAAATAATGTCGTTTGCCACCGTGGACGTAGAGAGACGAGTCTAAGGGAGAGTCCGAGCTATGCCGAACTCGCCTTCGGCTCGCTCAACATTGGTGTGCTAAAAGTGTAATGTGTGTTTAGCCGTTAATAAACATCGTTTGACATCGTGGACGTAGAGAGAGACGAGTCTAAGGGCGAGAGCCTGAGCTACGCCGAACTCGCCTTCGGCTCGCTCAGCATTGGTGTGCTAAAAGTGTAATGTGTGTTTGGCCGTTGATAAACATCGTTTGACATCGTGGACGTAGAGAGGCGAGTCTAAGGGATGAGGGCCCCAGTTATTGCTGTACAAAAAAGTGTAGTGTGTGTTTGGCCGTTTATAAACATCGTTTGCCACCGTGGACGTATAGAAAGGCGAGTCTAAGGGAGGGCCCGAGCTATGCTTTAGCTCGCTGAGCATTGCTGTGCAAAAACGTGTAATGTGTGTTTGGCCGTTGCTAAACATCGTTTGACACCGTGGACGTAGAGAGGCGGGTCTAAGGGAGGGCCCGAGTTATGCCGAACTCGCCTTCGGTTCGCTCGGCATTGGTGTGCCTACTACTCGCGTTAAATTTTTCATTATTTGTATTTTGTACATACTAATTTTCGTCCAAATAAAGTCCCGACCTAGGACACCCCTTTGATTTATCTTGAAATGGACTCGTCCATCAGTTTGACGTTTAGTTTTTTTAAAATGGCGGGAAATTCTCATTTTATGGAAATTAAGGAAAATATGCCTTCGTGGCGATAAAAAGCTTCCAACACATGCGGATAGAAATCTTAGACCATATAGTACATGGACCGCTAATTGTAACTAAAATATGGTCAAGGGTAAACGAGTCTGCCCGAAGTTGTCCGATGAGGCACGATTTGAGACTGTCAACCTATAAATTAACAAACGTCAATTAATTAATCGCCTAGATATCCCAAAAAAAGCAAACTTATTCTTATTTGTGGACGTATAGCAAATAATGAAGAGTATTTAAAGCTTCCCCTACTACGCGGTTACTATAAATCTGCTCATTAAACGATCCTAGTGGTGTTTACACGACCAGTGGCGTATTTACGAAATAGCTACAGGGGGGGGGGGCGTAAAGAAAGAAAACCAATTTTTTACAAAAAATTTGGAATATATGTGCATATGCATTGTGCATGTATAAATATAGTGGGTATCATAAACACAGAAGGTCCATTTTAAAAATAGTTTCCAATTTTATTGTTTTATTGTTAAGTACATACTCGTATATCTATAGGTATAGATAGCTCATATTGGTTAAATTTATGTCAAAGGAATAGGTAAATTCCTAAATTTATATCGAGCCGAATGCAGCATAGATACTTAACTATATTACTCAATCCGATCCGAGTTTAGGCGCATCGCGCGCTGGTGTGTAGTTGGCCTGTTCATTCGCTACGGTTCGAGTATTAATTACACTACTACAACACATTTGTACATTTGTCTCAAACGGCGGTGGCCTATTCTACGTTCATATTTGTTTTCTTGCCATAGTCAATGTCATTAGAATGCCGACATAGCGCGCGATGGGCACAGGGGGGGCACACGCCCCCTATGCCCCCCCTGTAAATACGCCACTGTACACGACTTTAGTGTTTACCCTGAGATTCACATACCCACGACTACAGTGCCCTCTATCCGTGACCATCCATTTTGTATTGAAAGCATAGGGCGAATAGCAGTCCATGTACTATATGGTCTAAGATAGAAATTCTAGAATGTTTAAGACTTCTCACGGCAGAGGCGGACTGGTAACCTTTAAGTGGCCTGGGGAAAATATTTATCGGCCCATTTTTTAGAATTGGAACTCGCGGGTAACATTTAGTTCTATAAAAATAGTCTCTTTAATATCTTGAGCAGTATCAACTTAAGGCGTATATTTTATTTTATTGCCTTTATTTTATAATTTTGCCTTGATAACTTGTTCTGAAATTTGACGTTTTACCTATTAGGTACATAGGTACTTAAATTTATTATTATTGTGTAAGTAATTATATTGACCATTGGTTTTGATTGTCCTCGTCTTGGCTTTCGTTCGGGGGTGCTTTTTCTTTGTTTTTCACAAATAACGCTGTTGATAATGTGAATTTAGCAATGGGCCGAATGTTTTTAACAATAAAATTGGTTCCAAGAAATTACCATGGTGCCCGGGTTCATTAACGATAGGAAGTCCTCGTTTCTATTAGGTACCTCTGTGCCCTATATTGCACTTTCCATATTACTGTAAATAACTTCAATTATACAATTATCCGTATTCACAGTATACATCGTATACCGTATAAACAAAGTTTCTTGTCTTTCTTTCGCTGACATAAACGAAGATTTTCTTGTTTTCGCAAACTGTATTGAAAAGATAGGAAGACTCATTGTCCAGTGTAACGCGTCCTCTTACAAATAAAAACAAATTCGGCGAAAAAAATCGATTATTATAAGGCCAGTAACGCACTAGGCAGCCATAAAACTGCGGGGGCTAATCCCACACACTATTGTTTATTCGAGCCCGCCTAGACAGCTGAAAATCGTGTGTGGCTGCCGCAGTGAGGCTGCCTAGTGCGCTACTGGCCTTATTCTGCACGCTGACCAATTAAATTGGAATCAACCATTATAACTCATAAGGCATAACATAACACAGTAGGTACAATAAAAATATATAGACAGAAAATAATGTTAAATAAATCGATTTTTGGCGGCCCATCAGTTGACATTTATACCGGCCCATCGGGCGATCGCCCGACTGGCCAGTCCGCCCCTGCCTCACGGACTTGCCCGCGCCCTATTTAACTCAAAATCACAAAAAAAAAACGCCTCACTGATGACGTCATCGGTGCATATTTTAAGGTTTTTTTTTGTTAATTTAAGGGTGAAGAAGTATAATAATCAAGTTTTGACCGTATGAATGTCGCCCCAACTTTTCATGGACTACTTGATTTCGTTGAGAAACTTGAGTTACCTCAAAACCGGCGGTGACCTTCAGTTGCGTTTTACCATATTGTTTTCAATTATGTTGTTCAATCTTTTATATTGAAATATAATATAAATATACAGGGTAAGTAAACGTTGTGAAGCACGTTTTTAAATAATTGGTGTTTTTATATAATTATAGTTATATTGTTCAATCATTTATATTGAAATATAATATAAATATTTATATTGATTCAATCATTTATATTGAAATACAATATAAATATACAGGGTAAGTCCGGGAACAATCGATTATATCACTTATTTGTGAAGCAATTTTTTAAATAATTATTCTTATATAATAAATATTAATGCATTTATAGTAATTGTAATGTTTTTTTTTCTTCTGTGTAAAAAAAGACTTCTATATTTCTTGTAGGTAGGTAGAAGACAAACTCTTGCGAGTGCGTGGTTATATGCCCCCAGTAATGACGTCTCCAAAGTATTAATTTGCGCACTATCTTTTTGCACTTTTGCTTCGGTACCTAACTTTTTCAATTCGTTAGGCGAGTTTATTCTGCCTGTAGCAGAAATGGCGTTTGAATAACCGTCTTTATAAAGATACTTACCTACCAGAACCAAATGTTACTAAAAAAATCAGTAAACGAAACCAAAGATCTGGAACTTCTGTTTATTTTGTGTCCATTGCGAATGAAAAAAAAAAGACTACTGTACATCTTTTAATAGTCCTATAAATATATACACACTGGAATGGTACACCTACAGGTAGTTTATATTAGTAATGCATCTATCTAACGGAGTCTTGAAATAATACCAATAGGTAAGCAATACTTATTATTACAGGGAAGTGAGCAAACT